AGTTACTAAGTTTAAAGATATCATTCATGTGATAACGGAAATCGGGACATCTTAATGTGAAGTGGTATAACACAAATAATCAGGTAGCAATGTTTGTTAAAAGCCACATATTATCCTAAGGGTATTTATGATTATCGAAACATTTTAACTCAAAGATGTAAAGACAATCAATTTAGAGATTTGTTAATCATCTCTTAAAAAGAGTTAGTTAACTGGAATATAGCAGTGCTAATGGGTCTGTTGTTATTCAGACAAAAGTTCGATATTTATGTGTGAATTATAAGTTGGTAGGTTTAAGTAATCTTGTGACGGGATGTCCAATTTGATTGTCCTCAAGCTTCGTTAAATATACCAGCTACCTGAAAACGTAACCCTCCAACTGTTATAATGACTACAAATTAAATTTGGTCGACTCTCAACTATAAGTTTAGTCACTACTGTAACTAATTATATTAAATAAATTGATTTTTGCAAATGTCACGGTAGGTAGTAGCGACTTTTTAGTTGCGGTACATATTCTATCATCTTAAATATAGCACGCATTCAGTGGAAACTAAGTACCAATTTTAATTGTAAAAGGATATATGAAAGTCTACGCACATTTTAGGGTTCTTTGGTCTCAATTTTTTCTATTCCGTACATCAAGTTAATATGATTAATGATGAATAACGTGGCTTAAATAATAGCGAACGAACTTGGAAGGTACTATTTCTCCCACTGTTAATTGGTCTACTACCAGAATATTTCAGTCAAAATTACTTTCTGCAAGCAGTCTTGAACTGGGTTGCTTAGCTTTAAGAAGTGAGCCTATCTACAATTGACTCGTCACTGAATAGTGAGCGACCTTGTCTGTCAAGTCGACCAAGTTACAACGTGGACATTAATTTAAGTGACTCGTCTAGACTATTAATAAAGGACTGAACAAACGCCACATATCACTACATGGTGATCAATTGTAATTACCTGCCCCACGGGATCCTGTCGCTGTCCGAACAGATTAGAAGTAACATCGATCATGAAGATGAGTGGCTTGATTTCGCAGTTATCAACTGGTACTTCGCCAGAAGTCTAGTTTTGACTCCAATATGAAACTTGACGTTAGGATTGATGCATGGCAGGGTTAATGGGGCTCTCTTCTCGTGGGTACCTGTAAAAAGTGGGGTTCCCCAAGGTACAATCGTAGGCCCTCTTCTCTCTTTACTTTATGTAAATGAATTGCCAACCGTAGTAAAATCATCCGTCCTACTCTGCGCTGGTGACATAAAGATCTGGAGACCCATACATAGTATATTGGATAGAATGGTATTACAGGATGATCTTAACTCATTGGTGGCATGGTTAGACAGGTGGTCACTAAAAGTAAATCCTAATAAGAGTGTAGTGATGCGGTAAAACAACTCTGATGAGTCGTATCACTATACACTACGTGGATTCGTGCTACCCAAAGAAAGATTTAGGAGTCATATTGAGCAATGGTTTCAAAACCACTAGTCACTGTAAAGCTGCTGCTGCAAAAGGCTATAGGGTATTATGGTCAATTCGTAGGTCTTTCCAGTATTTAGACGATGAAATATTTAGATTACTATACCCGAGTTATGTGCGACCACATTTAGAATACGGGATTCAAACAGCGTGTCCTTGTTCCAAGTATGAAGCAGATGTGCTGGAAAGTCCAAGGACGAGGTACTAAGATGGTACAGGGTCTATCTTATGAAGACAGACTGAGACACCTTAACTTATTTCCGTTATCTTACCGTATATTACGGGATGATCTAATATTGGCTTATCGTATACTGAACGATGACCTTGGTATCAACGTGTCTTATCTCTTGCTTCCGTCTAGGACCGATCATTTGAGAGGACATTCGAAGAAAGTTCAAAAACCGAGATCAAATCGTTTACGTCTGGAGTTCCGTTTCTCGCACCGAGTAGTGAGTTACTGGAAATCTCTACCGGAACACGTAATATCAGCACCTTCTGTTAACATATTCAAAACGAGATTGAACCTCCACAGCATTACAAACTAAAAGGATTTATATAGGTCGATAGACCTCCTATCCTTATTACTGAAGACTGACAGAAACACAAGATGGAAATATCTGAACCAACCCATAGTACGAAAGTCGTGCACACCACAGATAGTTGAGTTCAAATGAGTGATATAAATTACATTGATGCTATCAAGCCGAAAGTATAACCATAACACCAACCGGAAAAGGTTTAACGAGTAGTCTCAAAGTTTTCAGTATACGGTGCAATTGTTTAAAGATATCGAAAAAACGTGTTGGTATCAATCCCAAGTTTCTGAATGAAGATAACCGAATGTCCACATTTCCTAGTCAAAACCATTAACCCTATGATTTCCGCTTAGGTTCCTATGTCCGACGTCCCGAAAAACTGTCATTTTTGATATGAATTATAACACCAAATGTTTGGAAGGGCGGGGACTGTCACACAGATGAATATTCGCAATATTCTAAAATCTGATAATAACAATGTGATTGAGACTGAATCGTTAGTTGAGTTGCCTCTGACCACGAACTTGTCGAAATAGACAATAATCTATGATTGGCAAGCGAATTGTATTATTTCTCGCTAAATTATGTTTTGCATATGTAGCGTTTGATTTTAATGCATTTAGTCAGTTATCGAGAAAAAAAATGCTAATATTTTACGTAGACAACCAAAAAGCCACTTAATTTTGTAAGAGCTAAACAATTCGAAGAACAGACAAGAAAGAGACTTGTGACTGATTCTAAACGGAAACCCTAATTATAATATAGACTTCTAGGTTCATATTTCTGCTTATCTAGCAAACGTAGCACACGCACAGTCCTTTTTTAAGTGGCTGATAACATTTCCTTCTTATTCGCACTGCCTTTAAGCTTAAATATGTCCTAAGAATTGCTTAATATCAGTTTCCCAACATTTACATGTATTTCTTCACATGATATTCAGGAATGCATTTGATCGGTATACTGACATAAAAGCAACGTGAGTTAGCATCTTGATATTGTTCAAAGTTAGGTGTTTGTATACCTTAGAGATGTAAAGAGATATCAAATCCCCCTGATTAGGGGATTATTAGCAGGATGCACTAGGACTACTGAACAGATAGAGGACGAGTCCTGATGAAGGAACTAACATCCTGAAATTGTCATATTTCGAAAACATACAAATCTAGTATTTGACCTGCTGTCACTCAGTCAGCTATAACGCAGTACCAGCACATATGTGCATCGGTCCAAGTTGCCATACCTCATTAGCACAAGATTAACACTGGATTCATAGTAGTCAATTCAACAGTGATTATATATAAAAGAAAAATTGCATACAAGGACATAGTACAGGAAGAATAAATTAGTTCGTAGAAATAAACATATAAAACAATTTTAATCTCATAGTTTAAGGGAAGACAGAGTATGTACACCTACGCCATTGTGGTCGATTCTAAACCATGTCACCGACAGTCTCCAACCATTGGTTACGATAGTCACGTGGACCCCAACCAAGTAGTCTGTATCTACCGACATGACTCAGACCAGAAATTGGTGACTTCAAGAGCTGATGCCACGTTTTCGTTTGGCCGCCCCTTTCTCCCAACCATCCCCGACACTAGTCGACATTTCACGTCGTGGTAATCGGTGTTCAGACATACACAACACGTGACTTATCTCAGTCGATGAAGATCCACAACTTCATCAACTGACTTACCACCATTCCCTAATACCTTGCGTCTAACTTCACTATCACTTACCGGTGATCCCAGCAGATGCGAGCAATATTTCGAAGGCATTTGTGGTCAAATACTAGTAGCTTACGAATATCTCCCACTCTTAATGGTCACGTTCCGCAGCCGTAAAGTAGAACTGAACGAACTGCTGCGCAGTATACTCGTCCCCTAGTTGACAGACGGATATCTCACCCTCGCCATAAGTCACGTAAGTTGGTAAAAGCCAAGCGAGCTTTCTGAATCCGTGCTGGGATTTCGCCAGACACCAACCCATTACGGTTGATCAGACTTCCAAGATAAGTGAAGTTGTCAACACGCCCGACTACTCCACTCCCTATCCTTAGTTCAGGTGTTGACGAAGACCAGTCCCGAAGTGACAACTTGCATTATGAGGGGAGAAACGCATCCCAAACATCCTCGCATTGTTGCTCAGTGCTACCAAAAGACTGCACTTTACCATAGCCTTCATCAAACAAGACTATACCACCTGCGTATTCCAAGTCGATAATTGAACCTCCTGGATGGAGATCAATGCCCGAAAATTCGGTCGACGAGAACGTTATTTTCAGCAGTATGTCTATGATGAAAACGAACAGAAACGGAGATATTGGACAACCTTGTCGGACACAACTTGGTGTTGCGAAAGCAGATGATAGTTCGTCATGAGCTCGGATTAATTTGATTGCGACAGAAGTTCAAAACGTACTCTCGCAGTCAGTGTCCAGAGAAAACAACTTAAATTCAGGCAAAGCTTAATAGAACGATACATCGCTTGGTAGTGTTGATATAAAAGCCAGCAGTGCAACGCACAAATAAGTTTAAGAAAACTAGTTCCATAAAACACGACAATGCATCATAAGGCTAACTTAGGGGGCGTAAATCTTGAGGTAGTATAAGATGCATTTCCATATGAAGTAGATATGTTATTTGAGGCAGTGCAGTGGTGAATCTTGTCGGTTTTATATTACTTAACTAACATTTTTAGGTGCTCATGTGAAGTCGAACGATACTAACCAGTGCTTACAGCCATCTTGCAGAATTGAAAGTCGACTCCCATATTGAAACTAAGCACAAGGACATTAAAAACTACATTCAACAACTAAGAAAATTATTTAGTATCACAACCGAAATTAAATTGGACTCTTCAAAAGCCAGTTTTTTCAATTCTGCAAAAATCATCCTTGGGAATAATCCTTAGAAACCTGTGTTCAAACCATGGAGGACGGCCGTACGGAAACCTGCGCCAACCGCAGGTTGGACTGGTTTGTCAGTAATCATCAAGATTGAAGTCATCCTCAAAATCAACATCTCCACCCGCCAAGTGATTAAAATCGAGTTGGTAGCGTAGAATACCTACAGAAGCAAACCAATAACTTTTAAGTATATAAAAACTTACTAAACATGAGAAAAACTCAGGACCCTTCTACATTCTCTGTGTGCATAGTATTTCATCAGTGAAGTTTATTTATACTTTGCAGAGTATGAACCCCAACTAAGATAAATGCATACAATTGTTTTACCCTGAAAATAGATAATTTGCTACTGCCTGTCGGTTACTTGCACAGATACGTAATACAAAGCGCACTAGACAAAGATGTTTCAATCAACGAAATTGATACATCAGAAGTCTAGGTTAGCTCAGAAGCAGGTCAATCAAAGACAGGTGTATACTGATACGAAAACTCAGATGTACTGAGAGCAGAAGTCTGATGGATCTATATTAGTCATTTTTTGGTAAGCCACAGTGCCTAGTGTTGTATGTGTCAATTGAATGTGTAGATAACAGTTCTTCGAGTACTTGATCCCGAAGGTTAATGACTCGGCGTGAAGATCTATATGCTACAGCTATATCATCCATTCTTAACTTTTCAATTTCAATGGTGTTTAGTGTTCATCATTCCCTTTCTTAGTGCAAGTTATCCCAGTAGTCCATTGAACATAATTTAACGACTGGAAACTACGTTTTTCAGTGAACAGTACAGAAACCAAGAGACTGCGGCTTCGACACCTCAATACCTCTCAAATTGCCATCTCACTCAGAGCATTTACCAACGAAAAATACGTAGTACATGCCTACTAGAATAGCGATTTATGGAGGGCAGAAAACTTGATATGAGCACACATATTAAGCGCCGAGCCCATTAACCAGTTTGCGTATGACGAAAGTTGCCTTGACATTCCATGTAAGCAATATGCAGATCTATTTGAGGACCTTATACATAATTGACCGAAACGTTTATAGGATGTGTAACGGTTGAATTTAACAAAGACTTACCACCTATCCCACCAAAGCCGCGAACAAACTGAGCACCTTCCTGAGACTTGTCAGTGACAATTTCTAAAGTCGTCCCAAAAGATCTGTAGTTCAGGGCGAGCCAGTCTAAAAGAAGCTGAGTATCTAGAATTTCCAAATCAGATCCTGTCGCCGGGTCAATGAAATGTCGTCGGTCCGTTTCCTGGTCAGGACGCAAGTGTATAACTCTATTTCCTGAAAGAAAGAAATTTTTGTGTGAAACCGCTTTAAATATAATGTAGGACCATGCCTTTACGCAATTGCTCAATTCAGAGCAACGCATCAAGATTGTTCCTTGTCATCAATTTGATGTACGTCACGTGTACTGCCTGCAAGCAAATTCAAGCAAGCAGGATAATGCAGTGACAAAAACCTTAACATATGTGAGTCTCGGTCTAACAAATCTAAGACTTGGGATTTGTCAATCACTGACTCAAAATCACACTCATCTCAATTCTCTCAAGAAAGAGATCAGTGTGACTGATCACGTTATTTTGTGTCACTGCGATTGTAAGTGCACTTTATCACTTACAATTGCGCCTGACATCGTAGTAGAAATTGTGAAGTAACAATTCCCTATTACCTTTACTATACTAACCTTCAGAATTCGGGACTTTGAGGACATAGCGGTTTACACTAAGGTTCTCCCACACCACGAGGGTCTCCACAGCACCCATCTCTAGGGACTTCAAGGTGTCCTCAACACCAAAACAGTACTTTCCACTATCCTTTGTAAGAGGTAAAACAAATATACTAAGGCTCACTTGAGATATCTCGTCAAAGTATCTTTGAATCAGTTTTTTTTCCTGAATGAACTTTACGCCAGAAAGTGTATCTGTGGCCAGTTCGATAGCTTGGTTAAATCCTGTTTCACCACCATATGATATATCTACTATTTTAATCAACTTTGCTTGAAGCCTCTGAAAAAATGTTATTATTCACCAGTCCACTAACTTGATCAAACATATCAGATTGTCCCAAGTCACTCTTGAAGTCAGCAATCCCTGCAAGGATAAGACCTTCGATATTCGGTCGATCGTTTGTTATAAAAAGTTGCGTTGCTGTCTCGGCTACTTTACGAACATAGTTGTGCCGCTTTTCCATCCGCAAACGTGCGAAACGAAGTGCAGATTGACCTCCGCGACCATGTTTTTTCGGCAATTCGACCGTAAATTTGTGCAGAACCTCGCGAGTGTTTCCCGATAATGTCCCAAATAAAGCCCCATTACCATCAACGACAATAAATCCGAACTTGCTGTCATCTGCTAGCAGCGCTACTAAGGCCTAAGTTACGTTAGAGTGGTGAAAATCAGCAAACCTCTGTATGGAACTTGTTGTCGCAAAGATATAAAGACGTGTTTACTGGTCTAAATGGTTCGAAATCGATGTTGACCTTTTTCTCTTTACCATCCTCAGTGACTATTGTCCCACAATATACAACAAGGCCATTGGTAGGAACTACAAAAATGAAAAATTACTGATCCCAACCTCTAGTGTATAACTTCAGACGTTGTTGTACAGAGGTTATTGCACTCAGGACGGATAAGCGATTCACACGGCTTTTAATATTAGATGCTGTCCCATACTCCTCGGCTAACAATTTCGCTATCCTAGTAATCTGATCCTTTGGAGGAATGATGAGCGAAATCATACTCGTCCCATTACTGATATGTGAAATGACTGGTCATAAACCACTTACCCTCTAGCAGACTCCAAACTTTTGATCAGCTTTTTGATCCGCCACATTTCTACATTCTTATCAGCCTGAGATATCTCCGTACTGCCGTTTGTTGAAGCCATCGCCACGAGTTTAGGAAGACGAAGTGAGAACTATAAAGCGTGGTTATTTTAAAGCAAGTGACTAAAACAAACTATAATATACGGTTCCAACCGTCATATGACAATTTTACAGATATCAGTAATACTTAGACAAGAGCTTTTACAGAACAAAAAAATATACGTAGAGATTTATTATTAAATCAGTATATTATCATGTTTCCATATAACACTCTCAAACTTGAATATGTTACGTGGTGGAAAAGTGAGTGACTGAGAAACCTGTAATAGCATTGATAGTGGTGATCAGCGAAATGATTGGACCTTATTTTATATGCACTTACATAAAAATAAGGTACTCCTAGGTAAGAAACAGTTTTTCTCGTTCACGACTCTAGGTATAATTCTGGAGTCAGCTTGGAAATATATAGTTCCAATTCCACGGACTATTTTTGTGTTCTCATATTAACGTCGCTACGAAAGACAATAAAAATGAAGTCAAGTAGGATCCAAAATCACTATTAAGAGATCTCAAGATCATAATCAAGCTGCATATATGATAAGAGATTTAGATTTGATTTAATCTAGCACGATGGTATAGTGTAGGGTCAGGGTAACATCAATGAGTCCTAGTCAATTCATCTCTTGGTCTAAATCATGTCAAATTTGGACAACTGATCAATAACTCATAGTTAGTTTGTGGAACATGGTCGTATTTTATGATAACTAACGTGGGTCTTACACTATGGGATACCTCATGCGAGTTATCGCACTGTGTTGCAGACCTATTCCTACATGTATTATACAATGACTACATACTTGTAATATATGCCAACGTGTGTCGCACAACAGGATTATCTAAACTGAGTATTAACCACGAGATGTGACATTGACAAGTTGGATCACACCGATTCCCGTCAGACTTGAGTACGCCGCGACCATTCACGTAGATCACTTACATCAGTGATCTGCAAGAGCTTAGAGACCCAGACGACTAGGCAGACGTTTCAGAACTATTCTCAGGAGTCTGTTGTTTGTCTTATTCAGGATTAATCTGGTTGACAATCATGTACGCGCGACCACGACATTAAAAATAATATCCCAAAATAAACAGTTCCGTAGGCGTTCAACACTGATGCTGACCCCATTAGTTCCATCATGCACACCTTGGCTGAAGGCACTCGGTCAAGTGTCCGCACCGAATCACCATTGAGTACTCTGTTCTACATGTCTCATGGGATGACTGGTCAGCTTGGCTCAAATGCTGTCCAACACACCGACTAACTTCTGAATGTACCTCGAATTCGTACATTCCTGACCTCTGATTTGTCCATGTTTGTATCTTTCGATTACAAAAGCGTCACAGTCACCAGCGTTATCAAGCCATTAATGATCGCGACATCTTTTTAAGTGTGTCCAGCTTTATTTGGTAAACCAAGTGATGAATTGAGTCTGTTCCTTGTTGTAATATCACATACATATATTTTTTTAACATGTAAAACTAACAATTTGGTGTCCTCATATCTTTGGGGTGTTTATATATGCATATAATTATATCATATTTGCTGTATGAACACAGTAAAACTGTTCGAGACTAAGATTTTCGTGCCAACCACTTTCCATCTCATTCCAATGCGGCCTGATAATATTTAATCTTTGTCCTGCAACGCGGATGCTGACTTCCACGGACACAGCTTGAAGGATCTACCCGGCAAGTTCCTCGCAGCGGCGATGGCATTGCCACGTGACTTGAGACAAGTACGTGACACTTAGTGTGCTTACTAGTTATGTTTCCGAAGCTTGTTATACATCAACAAAGGTTACCCCTGAGCCTGGAGACCTAACTGATCGACAAAGGCAAGACCATTTATTCCACAACATAGAATGGCAATATGGCTCAGCAACATATGTGTTGATACGTATGTGAGGGTTATTGGTGAACGAACTCTTGACGAGGGCCTCTTTAAACAACAATTCCTGTCCAAGCTTCTCCGAAATGTCAAAGTGGTTCTCGTTTAGTTCCAAGAAAAACTGGCTGTATCTATCGGTTGGAGTGTGTAGATCACCAGTACCCCCAACATCAGGTTTACTCTGTCAAATAATAACGTCAAGCGACTGAAGAACGAAATCACATATCTCTGAACTACTCCCATTCATAGTCCACACATCCATCATAATCTACTCATTGATACTCAGAAACAGAGGTTAGTAAACGGAAACACTAATTCATTTGTTTGCGTAACTTCATTTCCTGTTGAAGATTGTCCCCCGTCACAGAAAGGCGTATAACCGATCCACCTTATTACAAATACACGATACAAACCACGAGATATAACATACGCAACCGAAATTCCCATGTGTAACCAGAAATGTTTCACATCACAAATACAAGACTGCCAGTATTCTCGAAAGCGCACCAATTAGTTCCCGAAAAGCTGACCTTGGCAAAAAACGAATTCGACCATGGTGTGAACAGAGAAACACGAAGCCTTGACAAAATACGGAAGCTATTTTTTAGGACGTTATTTCAGTTAGTTCAAAGCTTGTAAAACGCTAACACCTAATTTTGTCCCTAGTCTATTCTGCAGAACATAAGCTTTCGTTTGATGTATGATTCACTGCCATAGCCTTTTTTGTTCCAAAGCTATTGTAATTTGGACTTATTATTTTGTACACTATTCTCTACGCTAATCCCCAGTTCTGGACATAGTTGCATTTTCCTAACTATTGTACGTTGTGGTCAGGTTAGTCATCTATTTATTCATGTATCTTTTTACACTGGTCTGAAATCGGCAAATCGGGAGCCTGATCGGAATTGAGAATAAATCGAGTAGTGTTCCAGTTGACATGTCTTCTCTCACACGCGTGCTTGTCCGCCAATCAGGTGATATGATAGTTTTCTTCTCTCTACCCCACTTCAAACTCACGCGCACTAGCCTCGAGGTTAAGCCGCTCAGTCCATCGCGTCAAGGTCTTAATCTAGATTAGACTAGTTATCCTCAGCATCAAAAGTGGGTAGACAGGTCGCGGACGTAACAGGCCACATGATAGTCTTATGAAATATCCGACCATCAAACAGTCCCTAAAAGGACAGCAATGATTAGCGTCCAACTGGTGACTATCGGTGACTGAATGAGAAAACCATTCCTGATCGTTGATGTAGTGGCGGACGTCTTGTCTCTTATAATTTCCTTGAACAATTACTAACGAATCGATCTTCTTGAACTCGCTCAGCTTCAAGAAGACACTGATATTCAGAACGAGTTATCTTTAATAACTCTGAGACTACAAAGTAGACAGATAGTAACAGGTAAGGAAACTTGAATGTGTGACATGTCAACAGGTAAGGATTTTCCAATCGTGCCGAAACACTATTGACTCAGTGTCTTCAATACGCTTCACAAATTTTCTCACTTAGGTGTCGGGGCAGCCATCCGGCTCATGACAGGTCGATTTCACTAACCGGGTGTAATTAAAAACGTGGGAAAGTGGGCATGCTCCTGTGTAAGCTGGCAGAAATCTAAGGTGACTGGACACAACAAATGTTCCCTAGGCCGTTTTGCAACTCTTGATGTTCGTTTCGACAGTCTTCATCAAGACTAGGTGGAACCCTGACCATGTTCAAGTGGATAATCTTATCTCCAGACACGTGTGGAATGTTTCACACAATGGCTGGAAGCGGTATTTATCAGGGACGTTACTGATGAAAAACGGTGATCGGTGTTCTAATATGTTTGTAGAATGTACGTATGCGTTGATATTATTGAACCTATCTGTGCTACCAGACTAATAGACCTAACCTAACACTGAATTTGCCATGATATGCCTATCTAACTTAAAAAAACTTTACGTAGGGGACACCTCTTCATCTGTACCCACCCATCTTTTCGTGATAGTCAGTATAGCTTTTACGAACATTTAAGGAACATATTTGGGCTAGAGTTAAAATATGTTCATTACGAAAGGGGAGGGATGGTATAAAATGATAATGCTTGCATGGTGGAGCCATGCCGTCTCGATTTTGTTCACGCACTCATCTATTTTGACATTTTCCAAGTGTCAAACGTAGAATGTAAGACTTTCCGGTAGTTGTGTGCTCTACTTCAAGGGCCGTGTGATTAGGGATCAATGCTGCTACAAATCCTTTATCTTCTGCAGTGCATGTAAATCTTAATTCCCGCACGAGCAGACTCACAAACGCGGTGGGTTCAGTCAGACCTACGTGCGCTCGACCGCAATCAGCTAGCTTGTTTGTTCCCTCTGTTTAACGACTTAATACTCACGTTTTCGTAGGTCGCGACTAAAAATGTTGACCCCCAGAAGCTGAATACTAAGGACCCTACTAAGTCCCTAATCACGAACCTAAGTTATCTTCCTTATTTATTTTGTTAGTAATTTGACGATACGTACAGTCGTTTTTTTCTTGTTCCGTGTTCACAAACACACCTGTTAAACTATTTGCGTATTTCACGTCTCCCTTATTTCCATTCCCTTATTTTCTCCATTTCCTTCTTTAAAGTCCACTCAATATTCTTATCAATTATACAGAACCTGATTTATTATTATTATTTTTTTATCATTATTATATTTTTTCCCTTTTTCAAATATGGCAAATATAATGCTGACATTATTGAAACTTGTGTATTATTGCATTTTTGAAGAATCTCGAAATGGTTTCTCCACAACACTTTTTTACCCATAAGATGTTTGTGAATAATAATGATAATAATAGTAATAGTAATAATAATAATAAAGAAACGGTCACGATCGACCTGCTAGAAGCCTCTTTCTTAGAAGTAAACCCCATTAATGTTGACAGTCTCACCACACAATCGGACCAAAAAGTCCTCGAAACTAAGATGCAATTCATGGTAGATAACGATCAAGACACAACTTCGCTAGTATCTAAGAGTAGAACGACGCGTTCTGGAAGAACGTTGGGGTTTCCAGAACATTTGATTGACTTTTGCATGTTGGAAACTTCACAAGCCCGTCATTTCATACCATGTTCTCTGTGTTTACAG